GGTCATGAATGTTAGCCCAGGGCCAATCTCCCTCAGCAAAAGAGGAGGATTGGCAACAGATGTTAGCTCAAGGCTAATCTTCCTCACAAAAAAAAAAGAAAGAAAAGAAGAAAGATCTCAAATCAACAACCTAAGCTTCTACCTTAAGAAACCAGAAAAAGAAAGGCAAACTAAACCCAAAGCAAGAAGAAGGAAGAAATTATAAAGATTAAAATGGAAATCAGTGAAATAGAAAACAAAAAAACAACTGGAAAAAAAAATCAATTAAACTGAAACTTGTTTCTTTGAAAAGAGGAACAAAACTGACAAAGCTTTAGCTAGAATGACCAGGTAAAAAAGAGAGAAGACACATGCTACCAAAATGAAAAATGAAAGAGAGACAGCACTACCCACTCTTGCAAAATTAAAAGCATGTATAAGAATATTATGAACTGTATGCCAAAAATATTAAATAGCTTAGAGGAAATGGACAACTCCCTAGAAACACAATTACTGAAATTAACTCAAAAGTTAACAGAAAATCTGAATAGAACTATAACAAGCAAAGAAACTGAATTAGTAGTTTAAAATTTTCCCAAAGAAAAAAGATCAAGGCCCAGATGCTTTCACTGGTGAATTCTATCAAACGTATTCAAAGAGGTGATAACACCAAACCTTCACAAACTCTCACAGAAAACAGAAAAGGGAACACTTCTCATTCATTCTATGAGGCCAGTATTACCATGTTAACAAAATCCAAAGACATCACAAGATAAGAAAACTATAGACCAGTATCTCTCATAAATATAGACAAAAAATGTTCAACTAAACATTAGCAAACCAAATCCAGCAACACAGAATAAGAATTATATACCATGACCAAGTAGGATTTATCCCAGAAATATGAGGCTCATTTAATATCTGAAAATCAATTAATGTAATACACCATATCAACAGAATAAAACACAGAAACCACATGATGATCTCAGACACTAAGGTGACCAATTCTAGTTTGTCTGGGAGAGTATTCCCAAGATGCAGGACTTTCAGTGCTAAAACCAAGACAGTCCTGGGCAAACTGTGACATTTGGTCACACTAACAGATACAGAAAAAGCATGTGACAAAATCCAATACTCAATCATAATTAAAAACTCTGAACAAATGAAGATTAAAAAGGAAATCTTCTATAAATATAGAGATCTGCTATAAAACATTGTGCCTATAGTTAACAATACTGTATTGTACACTTTAAAAAGTTAAGAAGGTAGATCTCATGTTAAGTGCTCTTACCACAATAAGATAACATTTTTTTAAGATTTGTACACTGAAAATTATAAAACATCACTGTGAAAAATTAAAGATCAATGAATGAATAGAAATTTTCATGTTCATGTATTAGAAAACTCAATACTTTAAGATGGCAATTCTCCCCAAACTGATCTACACAGTCAATGCAGTCCTCATCAAAATTCCAAGACTTTTGCAGACACCGATTTGCCGATCCTAAAGTTTTTATATAGGACCAAGAATAGCCACAATTTTTAAAAAAAAGAACAAAATTGGAGGGCTTATACTACTTGGTTTCATAAGTTACCATAAAGCACAGTAATCCAGACAAGGTGGTACCGGCATAAGGACAGACATATAGATAAGGGAACAGAATTGAGAACCCAGAAATAAACGTTTATTTACAATCAATGGAAAAATGACATCTTTTTGACAAAGAGTACTAAGACAATCCATATGCAACAGATGAATTTAGACCCTTATTTCATACCATACATAAAAATTAACCCAAAATAGATCATAAATATAAAAGAGAAAACTATAAATATCTAGAAGAAAACAAAGGAGAAAATCCTCAAAACCTTGGATTAGGCAGAGTTCCTATGAAAACAAAAGTATGATCTATAAAAGAAAAAATTCAGAAATAAGACTCCATCAAAATTAAAACTTTTGCGATTCAAAAGACTCCAATGGGGGCCGGCCTGGTGGCGTAGTGGTTAAGTTCACACGCTCCATTCGGTGGCCCAGGGTTCAAGGGTTCAGATCCCAGGCGCAGACCTATGCACTGCTTATCAAGCCATGCTGCGGTGGCATCCCATATAAAGTAGAGGAAGATGGGCACGGATGTCAGCCCAGGGCCATCTTCCTCAGCAAAAAGAGGACTGGCAACAGATGTTATCAGGGTTAATCTTCCTCACAAAAAAAAAAGACTCCAATGAAAAAAGCCAAGCCAAGGAATGGGAGAAAATATTTGCAAATCATGTATCTAATAAAGGACTTGCATCCAGAATATATAATTCTTACAACCCAATAATAATAAGACAGACAAAAAATGGGCAGAAGATTTGAATAGTTATTTCACCAAAAGGATATATGAATGGCTAATAATCATATGAAAAAAATGCTCAACACCTTGAGTCTTCAGGAAAATGCAAATTAAAACCACAGTGAGTTAACCATTTCATACACACTAGAACAGTTATAATAAAAAAGACAGACAATAACAAGTGTTGGCAAGAATGTGAAAAAACTGGAACTCACACACACTGCTGTTAGGAACATAAAGGTGCCACCACTTGAGAAAACAGTTTCGCAGCTTCTTACAAAGTTAAACAGATGACCCAGGAATCCTATCCCTCGGTATCTACCCAAGAGAATGAAACCATATATCCACGTAAAGATTTGTACTCAAATGTTTAAGCTACATGATTCTCAACAGTCAAAAACTGGAAACCATCCAAATACCCATCAATTGGTCAACAGATAAACAAAATGTGGTATATCCATACAATAGAATACTATTCAGCAATGAAAAAGGAACAAAATACTGATACATGCTACAATATGGATGAATCCCAAAAACACTATGCTAAGTGAAAGGTCAGATGCAAAAAACTACATGCTGTATGATTCCATTTATATGCAATATGCAGAAAAGGCAAATCTATAGAGACAAAACACAAATCAGTGGTTGCATGGGGCAAATCTATAGAGACAACACAAATCAGTGGTTGCATGGGGCTGGGGATGAGAATGAGGGTTAACTACAAACAGGGAATTTCTGGAGGTGACAGAAATGTTCTAAAACTGGCTTCTGGTGATAGCTTAACAATTCTACATATTTACTAGATATCATTGACTTGTGCACTCAAAATGGATTAATTTTTGGTATTAAATAACTCAAAAAGCTAATTTTTTAAAAAACTGTACATACCCAAGAGAAATGAAAACATGTCCACACAAAAACTTGTACACAAATGTTCATAGCAGCATTATACACAATAGCCAAAAAGTGGAAACTCAAATGTTCATCAACCAATTAATGGAAAAATAACACGTGGTATATCCATACAATGGAATATTACTCAACGATTTTAAAAAAATGAAATACAAGGGCCAGCTCATGGCCTAGTGGTTAAGTTCAGTGTGCTCTACTTCGATTGCCAGGTTCAGTTCCCAGACCCAGACCTAGACCACTCATCGGCAGCCATGCTGTCAAGGCGACCCACATACGAAATAGAGAAAGACTGGCACAGATGTTAGCTCAGGGTGAATTTTCCTCAACGACAAGGACAAAAAAAATGAAATACAGTCATCCCCTGGTATCCACAAGGGGATTGGTTCCACGACCCCAGAGGATACCAAAATCTATGGATGCTCAAGTCCCTTAGTCAGCCCTCTGTATCCATGGGTTCCACGTTGAACCAATCCCAGATGGTAAATATAATACAGAATAGATTGGTTGACTCCACTGATGCAGAATACACAGATAGGGAGGGTTGACTGTAATGACTCAAGCTACAACATGGATGAACTTTGAAAACATTATGCTAAGTGAAAGAAACCAGTCACGAAAGAGCACATATTGTATGATTCTATTTAAATAAAATGTTCAGAATAGGCAAATCTATAGAGACAGAAAGTAGATCAGTGGCTGCCTAGGGCTGAGGGTGTGGGGATGGAGAGTGAGGGCTAATGAGCATGGGTTCCCTTTTTGGGGTGATGAAAATGTTCTAAAATTGGTTATGGTGGTAACTGCACAACTCTGTAAATATATTAAAAACCACTGAACTGTACACTTTAAATTGGTGAAGGGTACTGAATTATATCTCAATAAAGCTGTTACTAAAAAAAAAAAAAAAAACTTGCTGTACAATCTGTGAGCAGGTAGAGCCATCAACACTGGTAAGCCCTACCACAGCCAGTCACCAATCTATTTACTCAGAAGAGAACATCTCAAAGTTACAAATTCTTTTCAACCATACTCTGATTATTTTGTAAATGAGTATACACGTCTGAAATGAGATTCAATGATTCATCAAAGTAATTAGTTATATCACTGCTTAAAAAATAGGTTGACATTAAACATTCAAATTTCAAATGCCCAGTATGTTCAAATTTTCTACTCATGTGTTTACTAGAACTCTTAATAATATCCACATGAAAGCAATGTGTAAACTGTATTGCACTATATATAAACTCTAATTATTCCTAAATTCCTTTAAATGTAATTCGAGAGTTTCCAGTCCTATCTAAAGTCATTCTACCTTTTGAAGAAAGGAAGAAGCTGAAACACAAATATCCAATCCTATCTTAGAAAACGGTACATTCTTCTGTGATTGTGGCACTATTCTCTGATTATGGCACTAGAAAAAGTGCATAATTTACCTCTCGATAGAGACTCACAGAAAAAGAAAAGCAAATCTGATTACCAAACACACGATTACTATTCTATCACCAGCAGATTAAAATTTAAACCATAGCTGAAGTAAATGTCCAATAACACAAGAAAGGGGGAAAATTTACAATTTTACAATGAAGTGTCCCCCCCTTCCTCATTTAATGAAGTACTAGGAACTTAAAGAAACGCTATTCTGCAGCCAATCTAGCTCCTAGAAAAAGAAAGCCCAAGACGCTGGCACACGAGAAGCATTAGAAAATGCAATCTGGATTACTCTTGGCGTTATGAAATATTTTCTCTGTCCTTTATTGACACGAAATAAAAACGCTCAAGTGGAGCAAGAGAAGGGGTTCGGCTGCCCTGCTCGCAAAGCTGCTCAGGCGGTCTGTACCAGCCCTAGCAGAGCCCTCACCGTCCTCCTCCCGCGCCCCCAAAACATCCAGTAGCGCCGTCCCCGAGGGCCAGCTTCGCGAAGAGAGATCCCGAAGGCGGTCACTGGACGCGCGTGTTACAGAGCCCGTTTTTGTTTTGTTTAAAAAACAGATTCCTATCAGAGCCAAGCCTCCCTACCCCCGGGGAATAGGGGGCACCGGCAGCAAGGGCCCCGGCGTGGAGAGCGAGAATAAAAGAATACAACCTGCCGTGCGAGCCAGCGGCGGAGGGAGGGAAAGGTAAGGCGCGGCGAGAAGGCCCGACGGGGAAGGAAACTGGTCTCCAGCCCTCCACGCCACCCCGAGCGGCCGGAGCCTCCCCGGTCCCGCCCCGCGCCCGCCGCCCTGCCCCGGCGCCGGCCGCAGCCTCCCGCCCTCCCCGACCCTCCCAGGACGCGTTTCCTCCGGAGCCGGACCCCCGCCCTGGCCTCCCCGCGGGATAAGGCGGGTCAGTTCAGTCCGCTTCTCGGCAGAGGTGACTCGCGCAGAGATGTAAACACAGCGAGACCAGCTGCGCTCGGCCCATCCCCCTCGCCGGGGTCCGTAACCTCTTCCCTCAGCCCGGCCCCGCGCCCCGCGCCCCCCACGGGCAGGCGCGCAGCGCGCCGTCCCCTTTCTCCAAGTCCCGCTCCCCGACCGTTGCCCGGGGCACTCAGCCCCGTGCCCCAGCTCCCCGCCGTTGTCACCGCCACAGGCTCCGGAAAACCCCTCCGCAAACCCCGGAGCAAACAACACAGGCGCGGGGCGGGGGCGCGGAGGGAGGCGGCGGCACTCGGGACAGCGAGGCTTTATCGCCGCGCCCTCGGCGCTCCCTCCCACCAGCCTCGGCCGCCCGCGCTCTTACCTGCTGTCCGCGTCGCCTGGGAAGACCACGGCGTCGCTTCCCTCTCGGCAGGGCCGCGGACTCGCCACCGCCGCCGCCGTTGGCCGGGCGTCCGGAGGGAGCCGGGGCCTCCCCGGCAGCCGGAGCCGCTCCACTGGGAGAGGAGGAGACAAAACAGCGGCGCGCCGCCCCGCGCAGCGCCCCCC